GACTGTCAGTCTGAATTTTAAAACAAACAAACACAAAATTCAATATGCTAGAGACACACTTCAAACATAATTACACAGCGTGAGTGGGAAAAGGTATCATGGAAATACTAACAAAACTAAACACGTTCTAAACTTAAAGAACTGATTCAAAGAAAAGGTGCCACTCTGACGGCCACATGATGAATCTAATAAGAATAAAATATCTCGCAGTTTACAGCCTTGTTGGAGAAGCAAAAGAAGCATCAGTCTAATCTCCACACTATGTGTGATGTTTTTCCAAAGATAATGTTATCAAAATAGACAAGCAGGCTATCTCCCTGCAAAAAGTGAAATTCTAACCAACTCCCTCCTGCCAACCCCTGCAAGACACAAACACTTTTGCTAAATTAGCTAATTTGAGCTATTTTGAGACTGTCATCCCAGCACCCAAATCCTGATCCCTAAACTTAGTAACATCAGCAATTACAGTATTGATAAGGCTAAAACCAGAGCAAGCATTTAAAAAATGCAAATAGCTGTATATTATTTAGACACTTTCCTAACCAGTGGTTCAAACTCCTCTGCTATGGCAGAGAACGCCCGATGTTCTTACGTGTGTCATCCTCACCCAAGTGCCCATGAAAATGCACTGTCACTCAACTTTTCTCTCTGGCTAAATGAGTCAGAACACAAATGAGGATGACATTCTAGTGATGATCTCAAGGCTTCTCTGACCTAGGAAAACGAACACTTTCGGCAAATATTGGGAGTGCAAAATTGTTAGCAATCACTCACTTGTGACACACCTTCCAATGACTGTGATGTCAGCACTAGTTTCAACTGCACTTGGTCTGTTTTTAATCCCCACTTTGTCTACTTCTGGTATTCTCCCACACCCTCCAAAGCACCCACCCTTAATCTTCTGAGTGAGAAATCTTTAGGCTCTCAGCCAGTAGCTTTCAACACTAGTTGACATCAGCCTTAGCCTAGCCCTAGGCTCTACCCACAGAAAATTATATTTAATTGTTCTGGGGATGGTCTCTGAAATCAATCTTTTTAAGTCTCCAAAGGCCACAAACCCAGCTATCTGGCTTCCCACTTTGGCCGGCTGCCATCTCAGAGTGAAAGTTCCCTCTCCACGCTATGCTCAAATGATATGGGAGTTGTTAAAGGGTTTTGCAAACCCTAAACTATATCACCATGCAAGGATTGCTTGTCATCCTCCACCTCTTCCTCCTTGATTCGGTGCTATAATGAACAAAAATAAAGCTGTGCTCTAATCCACTGGCATGTAAAGTATTAGACTCAGACCAGCTGGGGTCTACAACAAGTTTTAAGGCAGTGGTTCTCAACCTTCCTAATGCCGCGACCCTTTAATACAATTCCTCATGTTGTGGTGACCCCCAACCATAAAATTATTTTCGTTGCTACTTCATAACTGTAATTTTGCTACTGTTATGAATCGTCATGTAAATATCTGATATGCAGGATGTATTTTCATTGTTACAAATTGAACATAATTAAAGCATAGTGATTAATCACAAAAACAATATGTAATTATATTATGTGTTTTCCGATGGTCTTAGGTGACCCCTGTGAAAGGGTCGTTCGACCCCCAAAGGGGTCTCAACCCACAGGTTGAGAACCACTGTTTTAAGGAGTTAGAACCAACACTCCTAAGTTTTTCTATCAGTCTGGAATCAAACCTGAAGGAATTTGAACCCGACCCCTGCAGTCCACGGGATAATGCTCTAACCACTGAGCAACTGGCCAGGGCCCATATGTATATTTTCAAAATCTATTTCCATACCTGGAAAAATCTAGGATGACAGCAAAATGTTAACAGTGATTCTCCCCAGGATGGTAAGTTTATAGGTGATTTTTATTTTTTGAACATCTATTGTTTTTATAATTAAAACAGATAATTGACTCCACCCAAAAGGGAGGAGAGAATAAAAGATCTGAGTTCTAAACATGGCTGGTGTGGCTCAAGGGTTAGAGCATAGGCTCATGTACCAAAGTGTCACGGGTTCTATTCCTGGCCAAAGAAGGGCACATACCTGGGTGTCAGGTTTGAACCTTGGCCTAGGTCCCGGAGCGTGTGGGAGGCAACCAATAGATGTGTCTCTCACATCAATGTTTCTCTCTCTCTCTCTCTCTCCCCTCCCTCCCTTCCTCTCTACTTCCACTCTCTCTAAAAATCAATGGAAAAACATCCTCAGGTGAGGATTAACAACAAAAAAAAACCCATTTAGGTTCTAGATCAGCTCTCCCCAGATCTGAGTGTTAACTTGGCTTCTTAGTTGAGACTGGATGCTGCCTCAGGGTCTTCCCTCCTGTAACATTCAAGCTTCTTAACAATCCCTCTGCTAATTAATTAGATTCCCAAGGGACCATCTCTCCCATGCAGACTGTGAACTCATAATCTGCCATTCCTCAGGCTAAATCTAAAGAGCCTGATTAAGTCCTCACCCCTGTATGAACTATAAAAGTGAGTCACCAAGAAAGGCCCTGACACTATTGGCCACACCAAAGTTATACCTCAAGGCTTGGCCACGCTGAGCCCAACAGAGATAAGCATACCTTTCTCTCCAGCTAGGCAAGAATAACCCAACAGGCCTTGCAGCAGGAATTAAAGGCTGGAGGTATTCAGACTCCTTATCATGCTGGGTTTGGATTAACTTCCCAGGGTCAATGCCACAGCAGGATCTATAAGCAAATCCTGATAGGACACAGGGCAGCTGCGTCACCATGGAGACAGGATACCATAGCCCATAGGTCACCCACAGTGTCCCAAAGCTATTTCACAACTGGGACAATAAAGGAAGTAGGAATCCAGAAAAGAAAAATTTTATGACCAATCCCTAGATGACTCTTAGAAGGTGCCTCCTGAGTAAATTGTTAGCAACAGGGAAGAGAGGAAAACTAACAAGAATTGAGTGCACAGTGTGTTCCCAGGTGTTAGGTGCTTTATTACTGCCTAGGTTGGGTCTTTTTACTCATTCCCCATTTTTTTGTTGTTGTTGTTAATCCTCACCCAAGGATTTTCAGAGAGAGTGGAAGGGAGGGGGGGGAGGGGAGAGAGGGAGGGAGGGGAAGGGAGAGAGGGAGGGAGGGAAAGGGAGAGAGAGAGAGAGAGAGAGAGAGAGAGAGAGAGAGATTGCTTCCTGCATGAGGGGGCTGGGGATGAACCTGCAGGAACTGAACCCATGACCCTTTGGTTCTCAGGCCAACACTCTACCCACTGCGCACACCAGCCAGGGCTACTCATTCCCTATTTTGCAGATAAGGAAACAGGCTCAGAGAAGCTAGATAGCTTGCTTAAGATCACAGAGCTGATGAACAAAAGAGTGAGAATTTTATCTCACATGGGCTGGGTTTGAACCCTAGAAAGCTTCCCCTACCAGTGGTCGGCAAACTGCGGCTCGCAAGCCACATGCGGCTCTTTGGCCCCTTGAGTGTGGCTCTTCCACAAAATACCGACTTCTGCGCATGGGCCAAGAAGTTTCAATCGCACTGTACGTGTGCGCCCCCACGTGGTATTTTGTGGAAGAGCCACACTCAAGGGGCCAAAGAGCCGCATGTGGCTCGCGAGCCGCAGTTTGCCGACCACTGCCCTAGACTGTCACTCAGTGAGCACCCTTGGGTTTCAAAGAGATAAACATGCATTCAGCCATTTGGATGAAGTGGAGGGAACTACTACTACCAGTCCCAACAAACTTCTCAAAAAGATTAACAGGGAAAATGCCTCAGGCAAAAGCAGGAGGCTAGACGTGAACAGATCCCCAAAAATAGGGAGGTGCAAGTCCATCCAAACTTTGCAGAGGTAGGGCCACCTCGTGCAGACATTCATTCTCTCTCTGGCCAAGGATCCACAGAGCAGGTCCCTTAAATCCGGAAATCAGTGCCAAGGGAACCAAGAGGGTCACCTCCCCCCAAGTTCCACCACTTCCTAGTTGTCACCTGTCCTCTCTGGGCCTATTTCCACGCCTGTAAATTAGGAAAGACAAGGATCAGGGAGGGGTAGCAGGTGCCTGATACACACAGCAGGCTGCCCAACTATGAGCTCCCTTTTCCTCAGTCTTTAAGGAGGGGATCAAGCAGGGAACTGGAAGATTCCCACCAACTGAGGAAAAGAGAGAGAAGGCCAGAAGGGCTGTCCTCCTGCCAGCTGTTCCCTTCTCGAAACCTGGGCAGTGGGCACCAAGCGCCCAGCCAGCAGCCCCAGTAGGAATTGGGCCTTTGACCACACAGGCTCTGGGCCTGCACCACCCACAGGAGTGAAGTGGGCTCGACCACCGCCAGAAGGCGCCCTTCCCACCAGCCACTCCTACCTGCCTTCCTCCTCCTAATGCTCAGGTGAGAGGGAAGGTGGATTGCAGCCTCTGACGTGGCTGGAATCCTTCATGGCCCAGGCGCACGCATAACTAAATGGAGCCTGTCTTGAAACCCAGGAGTCCTTGGCTTTGCAAAGGCAGGAAGATACCGGCAGAGCTGCACTGAGGGTGCTGTGGGGCCCAGGAAGGGCACCCAATGGGGGGGTCTCATCTTAAACCTGTCGGCTTAGCCCCAACCCCCACTTTTCTGGACCAAATGACAGACCTTTTGAAGAGGGAGAGAGCCAAGAGACCACAGAGGAACAGATTCCTCAATTTCTGACATTTTTTCTGTGTTCATTTTTTAAAACTTTCTTGCGCCCCTCCCCCCATGTGAACCCTTCCACGGCCAAGTTCCGAGAAAGACTCAGTAAGACGCGCAACCCCCAGGTACTTGGAGACCCCACGGCCACCAGGCCACTCCACAGATGCGGAAACTGAGGCGCCCGGACTCCGCGGGCAAGGCTCCTCCGGCCACCTGCGGACTCACAGCGGGTTCCAGCGCTCCGGCAGGCGGCGGTGCAGCGAGATGCGGTCGCTAAGGTAGGTGTTGATCTGATGCAGCCGCACGCTTCTCCTCCTGCAGCCGCAGTTCCTCGCCCTCCAGCTGCAGCCGCACCGCCTCGCCCCGGGCGGCCCAAGGCGTCCTCCGGCACGGTGGCCGCGGCAGGACCGGGTCGCGCCGGCCGGAGCGCGGGGTGCCGCAGGGTCTCGGCTCGGCCGTCTTGGCCCCACGTTGGCG